TGAACCAATCAGAATCAAGAAAATACATAAAGTACATCTTCCGCGATAGGGCGCAGATAATTTATGCAAAAACGGTAACCAATCAGATTTGAGTTATGGTACTCATTGCTCTGGCAGATTTCTCCAGAATTCTATCACATCCTGTAACAAATCCAGTCTTCTCTTGTGTCTATCTGTAATGTATCAAAATCATCTGTGTCAATATAACTCGTTCATCAGTGGTTCATCCAATCGTAAAAAGCTTTCAATTTTAGATATGTCGAATGCTATGGATGATCCCATACAGGATGAAAGTTTCAGAAAATTGTTGAACGAGTTCGCGCCCCTAAACAGAATTCCAATTGGTTGCTCAAGACCAATCCGCTGACAGAAGGCGAAAAGACCAAGAAGAATGTCATCAGCGGAAGCAGGCGACCTCCAACGAATCAAATACGCAACTATAATTGCAAATTTCCGAAAACAAAGAATGATCAGACGAAAACGAGCGACCAGACAATTTAACCGATTTTCAATTGGGCAAGTAATAGTCGCCAAGGACAAAGAATCACTACCGGGTCTGATAGATATTCTAGACGCAGACATCCTTAGCGAACTGACAGATGAAGACGCAACTCTCAGATTGATGAAAATGGCGATAAGAAACAGGGACTACGAAGGCTTCGTCAAGATACACCCCTATATCAAGACCTTTTGGGTCTCAGCAGCGGTGGTGGACAGCTGCATAATCATCGACGACAGAATCGCGATACCGAGTTGCCTCCGACGGGCAGTCCTTTCACGTTTAAACCGTTCGCACCCAGGCCAAGAGGCGATGTTGGACACGGCCCAGTATCTGTGGTGGCCAAGAATCCACCGAGAGGTTGTCAATCTTTGCAAGAGTTGCGGTGAATGTACAAAATTCCGTAAGAAATTAAACCCAATGAGTCCTTTTAAAATGTACAAGTCTCTACCTCTACTAAATGCTCAATGAGGAACTCCAATTAGACTACGCGGGTCCACTATCAGACGGTGTAGGTAACCAATTTTATATCCTGGTAGCTTTCGACCGTTACTCTAATTATCCGTCTGCAATGCTTACTAAAACGACCGGAGCTAACAAAATTTTATAATTCTTGGAGAACTACATTTTTACTCATAGTATTCCTAAAGCAATCAGAACGGACCAGTATTCTGGTTTTAAAAATAAGACCGTTGATCAATTTTGCTAATCAAAAGGCATCAATCACGTTTTTTGCTCGGTCGGTGATCACCGTGGATGTGGATTGGTAGAGCCTATTCAGACGATTAAGAGTAAATTGGGAACTTTACAGTTGGAAGATAATCCACCGGATATTCAAACGGCTCTTAAAATTTTAATCGAAGATATCCGGATAAAAAAAATCTCAGTTACAGGCGAATCTCCGTTGGAATTACACTTTGGCAGGCAACCAAATTCTGAGTGGTCGTTAGCGACCAACAATCTAAAATCTAAATTACGTTAAGACAAGCAGAATTTGGAGAGAGACCTCCTGACAGCAGAGGACAGAAGAGAGTCGTGCGAGAGTCGCGTCAAGGTAGTGAAGATGGGCTACCACAGCAGTGATGTGTCTCCCAAAATCAAGCAGGAAACTACTCAGATCGCATACACACCCAACTACAGATCCTTGGAACAGCTAGCAAAATCGGCGAATGAGTGGATGGCCTGGAAATAGAAATTGACTCATGAAGAAGGTTGCCGAGCTCTCCGCACCCTGACGGAAAGAAACCAACTCCTAGCGGCTTCTCTCAGAAATAGACTAACAACTGGGACTCTGAGATTCAGACAGGACACCATAGATTCGCCAACAACCAGTGCCAATTGTAAACAAGAGTCATTGCTTTAAGCTGAAGTATTCAGGAAATTCGCAAACCTCAAGTCAGGGAAACAACTATTTAAAGGTTACTGGGACAAAATGATCAAAGTTACTATTTCAGCATAAATTAGGGTGGCGAAAAAAAGTTTTTAGGAAAAGTGATATTTCATTAAGGCTAAAAAGTTCACACTTTTCAGGTCGTCAAGGACACAGCAAACGAGTAATGGGAAAAAGGATGAAGAGACAAAGAACGTTCTCATCATTTTCTTCGTCGGACGAACTTCTGGTCCCAAAGGCTCAAGCGCAACAGAGGCAATTGTCAGCTTCAACAAAACTGGCAGTGCCGGCGGTTCCTCTACGAGGAAAGTTTCGGGCAATTGCTCCCAGCGCAAATAGAACCACCACCCCAATACAGATTCCAAGACCCCCAATCCCGGTAGTGGATCTAACAAGATCGTTGTCGAGTTCAGGAGGCGTAATCAATTCTCCTGTGGCGACTTCTTCTCCAATCGACAAACCTTCAAGATGGAAAGCCGTCCCAATTTCAATCAAGATCGACAACAAGAGGTCCTTTAAGACCAGGAGAGTCATTATACAACCGGGAGTAGAAGTTGTCTCAGATGCAGCTTGATTAGTGCCGGTGTCCTCAGAAGACGACCAGGTGGCAAAATCTAACGTCACCCCACGGTCCTGCCCACTGACTGTAGTAAAAAAACGGATTCCAGACCTAACAAGTCGGCAGATACCCCGCAGAAGATAACTTCTGACCCTACAGCAGAACAAGACGGGAACGAGTCATCTTCTTCGAAAACCTCAGGTCGCAGTAGGAGACATACACATTTTCATGGCACCCCCATTCACCATGCGGTTAAAGAAGTATCAGAAGCGTGAACGCCAGGATTTTCCGATGGGTTAACGGTCCCAGTGTCGGAGGCTGAGTTGTCTTCGTCTCCATCTCCAAGAAGAAGAATGAAAATCTTTCAAAAGAACAAAATACAACCTCAGAAGTCGGACGACTAAGTTAAACTCAAGCATTTCAAATTTTATCTAAACTCATTTTTGATTTGTTTATAATTTTTGTTGATCAGAAATTTTTTTGAAAGGGGGGAAGTGTGGTACAGCGTGGGTGCCGCCCCTTATGAAAATGCAATTGAGTTGTTGTGTTGATCCTAAAGGTCAAAGTGTTAGTTGCTAGAATGAGTGAGGTTGGTGTTGTTGATGTCAAGGTCGGTACTAGACGACCGTGTTAATGATCTGATGTATATAAATAAATCACTCTCAAGTGATATGGTGAAAGATACAAATATCCTAACGTTCTTTATTTCATTTCACATTTTATACAATTGGTTTTACAAACTAAGAGTCTGTCGTTGTTATTCCACAGCGCTGAAAAAGCTCTGGTTTGAGCTGCTTTGAGCTGGTTTTTTTCAAAACATCTCTGGTGCTCTGCCCTTCTGTAAGCAAATTAGCCCCATTATGATGTCAAAGCCATAAACGCAAAATAGATGAAATCATTTCAGAATCACAACATAATTTATTTCAAAAAAACAATTGACTGTATTTTACATTTTCGACCTCTATGTGCTTTTTTTACGGCCTCTATCTGTATTGCATGTTAGTCTTTTATGTGTTTTTATTCACGCCCTGTGTTTTTCAATTATCATCTCCGATATTTCGGCAATACTTATGAGTTTAAATCGAAAAAGGGGAATTTTTTTGAAAGTAAAAGTATGCCTGCATGTCTCTCTGTTAGCCAACGGATATGAAATGAAATCCTGACCAGTGGCGAAATTTATTAAAAACTGTAGACTAGTTATAACCATCACTGACTAAAGGTTGTTTTTACTAAACAGGAAGCGGTATTAATAGACCTCAAATAGCTACTTGTGCATTTTACATTGAAGGAACAAACCATAGTCGTCGTCAATTTTTCTGGTCTGGTGCAATTATTTTTTATTATTTTTACGTCATACTTTTTCAAAAAGATACAACAAGTTTCCAGTATTTCAACTTTACATGCATTTTTGTTACATGTATCTGAAAACTTAGCACTAAAATTAGAGAAAATTAATTAGCTGTCTGTATTTTATAATAAAAATGTTGAAGGTTTTGTGCGCTATAGCTGCCGCGTTAATACTGAAGTCATTTGAAATTCAAATTCCCATTTACTGAATAAATTATCAATCAATAATTCATTTGTCTTCTCCAAGAGAGAAAGTCTTTTTTAGCTTATTTATTCCACATATGTCTGACCTGTCTTTCAAAGTGACAAAACTTAGAGGAAAAAAATGGAAAAGCAGAAAAGAATCGATTTTCAATCATTTGGGTTCCATTCGTGCTTGCTTTTATCTTTCCCTGGAGTATTTTTTCAGCGCTGCTTTTGACTTTTGCTGTCTAAATTACCACAACGTGCGAAATCGTAAAAACCAACGATAATAAATATCCGGTCTGGTTAACAAAAAAAAACGTGATAACTTGTGCGCTGTAAAAAAAACATACATAGCATTATCTCTATTTTCAGTCCACTTTTCTTGAAGTCCAGGAGGTGAAAAACTTATCAAGTTACACAATCAATTACTTTAGTTACACAATCAATTACAGTAATTGCATCATACCAACTTTTCCTTCAAATGTTTAAACACATCTGATTGAAGAAAGCCAGCTCCAATTCTTTTTGCCCAAAAATTGCTGGATCTTGAGTCCCTGTCTTTAATTATAATGCCCTTATGAGTCCATTTATGCGATTTTACCCATTTTGTAGCATCGATTTCTTCAAATCTAATCATAAAATTAAGAACGATGTTCCTCGGCACTTAACCAGTTACATTACCCAAATTTTACCCTGCTTCGCTCTGCCCCTCTACTTTTAAACTTGACTTATGTCAACTTATTGTGAAATTTTTTCTTCGCATAAAACTTGGATATAAATACCTCGGTACAATTTTTTTGAAGAGAGCTTTTTCGAAATAAATTTTTTTTTTCAAAACAAAAAATATATATTTTTCTTACAAACAGAATTAAATTTTTCCTGCGTTTTAACGTCTTATAAAAATAAAATAAATTTCAGTTTCTGTTCAGTTCAAAATAATTCGATTCTGTTCGAGGTAAATTCAATCAGATAAAAAAAACTGTGAATAGAAATAGTCCTTCCAAATATTTCAAAATGATTCTTCTGCGACGAACGTTATTTTGATACCGAAAACGATTTTCAATTAAATTGAAACTATCTAATTATGCAATCCTTAATCTTTGGCCATCTATTATTATCATTAATTATCACGACGATTATATTAATCAATATAAATGTTGGTGACGAAGAGACAATTGACTCAAACTGCAACGAAGATGAAATCAGATTCACTCTTGGTCAGAAATTAAGGGAAAAATACAGTCTTCTAAACCAGCCGGCTATCGATCCAGATGATCCAGTGGTTATTTACTATGATGTGGCATTGCGACAACTCTTTAGAGTGGTAAGAACGAAATTTCGCATTTTTTCAAATTTACTTGTGAGAAATTTTTGAACGATGAACGTCTATTGCACACAAGAACGATGAACGTCTATTGCACACGAAACATACAGTTGTGTTTATAAACTATTAAAATTGATTTTTATTAGTTCAGAAAAATGGTAACTTTTGATTACAGAACACTCAAATTTTCCCGATTTATGTTCCAACCGCCTCGACAAATTTTGCGTATGTTTCGAACCTACTACATTTTTCTCGACAAAAAGAAGTGCTCGAGTTTGCTCAATGCCCAACCAGCTGTGTTTCGACGGTTCAGTACAAAAGTGCGGAGTAACATAAGAATAAAGCTAAAATTGATAGTAATTAAGGGTTTCCAGTAGAAGTCCACATTCATCAAATTATTTTTTTAAATAAGTAATCATCTTTAAAAAACAGTCTAGAATATGGTCATTAGACAAACGATGACTGTTTTCAGACGTCGTTGAGCGCTAAAAAGAACAAGAAAAACTACTGCATATGGTGGTATAGTACCACTGGTATAACTCTTACTCAGTTTTGTAAACAATTGATATGAAAAAAATATATATTTCTCAGAAATTTGAAAAATTTTAATTTGAATGAAAATATTTAAAAAAAACTATATGAAAAGATAAGGAAAACGTAGTCCCCAAAAACTTTGAGAGAAATGTTAGTTTATTTGTGTTTTTATTCACAGCAGTTCAAAAAAGTAAGAAAAAGCTTTGTAAGACAGTTGTAGAAATTCCAATTTCAAGTAACCGTCGAAACTTATTGTGGTGTTTTTTTTCAAAATTGATCGCTAAATTTTGTGCTCTTACCTGCTTATTTTGATGTTTGAATTAGTTATCTGTTGTTATTTTTTTCTGAGTAATTTCACTTCGAGTAATTTTATACAAAAATTTTATAAGTTTAGCTCAAAAATTTCATAGTTCAAAATAGTTGACTCGTTGTTCTTCTCATTTCTTTCAGTGAAGATAACTGTTTTAATTTTATTTAATTACAACGACAATTTATTTTTGTTCAAACAGCCTTTTGCGATTGTCAAAAAATGTTTAAAATTTTTTAACGGTATTTTTTTCAAATTGAGTTCAATAATTGTATCTTTCGGATAGAGAGATAATCGCTTGTTGAATTAGCTAAATTTTTGAAATATTTGGGAAATATAAGCAGATTATTAAGGCTACCATTGTTTGCTATTATTTTACATTTATGGAAAAATGGTACACATACGTTTTCCACGCCATTCTTTTTTGCTCAAAAGATTTATGATTAAGTGAGTTTTCACATATGGAAATTGTATGTCTAGGTTTTTTCATAAACAGAAAACTTTTACCATTTAAATGTTTCTTTTATTTTATATCGAATATATATGGGTGATATAAGCAGATTATCAGGGCTACCGTTGTTTGCCATTATTCAAAGTTTAAGGAAAAAGCACCATGAGTTTGACATGGTTAAAAGCTTTAAACATTTTAAAATCATCTTTCCCCGGCTTCCCAGGTTGTCCGAAAATGCTAGACATAAGTTTTCCATGCAATTCCTTTTTGCTCAAAAGATTCAAGATTAAGTGATTTTTCGTATTTGAAATTGTAGGTCTAGGTTTTTTCTTAAACAAAAAATTTTTACTTCAATTAATTTCTGATCAAATATTTCAGGTTGTTTTTATACGCAAATAACAAAGACCTTGTTTTACTCGAAACTTGAGTCACCAAAAGTTAGACGAACTTGCATTCAAAATCCAAAAGAAGCGAGCAGAAATGTCTTAATGTTGTCTGACAAAACTGATATAATGAAAATATCAAACTATTCCAAATTGGCAATAACTTTTGCATAACGTTTTTTTTACAAAATTAGTTTTGAAAATTCCCGCCCCATAAAAGTTTTTTTTGTTCAACCAGAACAAAAAAACTTTTATGGGGCGGGAATTTTCAAAACTACTTGAAAAACTTTTGTTGTCTTCATCAAAAAAATGGTTGTCAAACAATTTCCAAATAAAGAAATTGTAAGCGTTCTTTTTTAAAACAAAACAGTCTTCTTTTTTATTAATGACGAAACATCGTCTTTTATATCGAAAAAAGAAAAAGTTCTATGATAATTCGATGACATCATTTCATCGAAATGTATGAAGCTTTTCTGACCAAAAATTTTTAGACTTAGTTTTAAGAATTGTATGACTAGCATTTTTGGTCTGTGAGAGTAAATTGGGCTAGTACAAAAATGTAGAAAAAAACTGTTAGTATAAAAGTCTTCAAAAAAACGCGCTCCCCGAAATACGCAAGTTGGGATAAAAATTTACGAAATTTTTTTTTCTTAAATAAAGGTCGACAATATTCTCGAAATTATTTTGAAAGTCCATTGACAAAATCCTAGAACCTCACTCTGATAACAAAATTCAAATTTTCCCGGAATATTTTTACAAGTTTCATAGAATACTTCGGGGAATTTATAACGTGTAATTTTAGAAGTCAATGCATAACCCAGAATTTGGATTGTTTCAGGATGAGAAACATCAAGTCCTCTCACTGCTTCTCTGGGAACGATCGGTAAGTCCTCATAGTTTTCCAACCCTAACCCCCACTTTTCAGTTTTTCCAACTTCTTAGTTGTTTTTCGTGTTATTATAGCTAAACGCGTGATCTTACGATGTACGGCTCTCATCCTTTTATCATATAGCGACGAAGGCGTAGGAGAAGTTGGCATACGAGCTTGATACTTTTTTCTTTTCAAAGATATTTGCCCTTGAGTATTGTTTTTTTTTTGTTTATAACTGGGTCATTTTTTATAAATCTTTCAACAAGTAAATCAAGAAACGAGATACACTAATTCGAAATTGAATAATAGTCTTACTTTTCAAACTTATGAACACAGTGGTTTTATGCAACAAAATAAACAGAATAGTAAAGAAACAATTGAAAAAAATAGTGTTTAAAATGAATTTTTTGGTTAAAAACACCAAATTTTAGCATAAAATTCTTGAAAGCTCTAGAAGATTGTTCTGTTCTAGTCCTGGATTGACCCCAATCTGAAGTGGGACCCGCTGGACTTCTGCAACATCACTGAGATCCGGATGAAGGAGACAGAGGTGTGGGTACCAGACATCGTAATAACCAACAGGTAATAACCACCAATACCAGTAGTTGTAATAACCACCAATCTGTTTAACTATTTTTCCTCTTTCCAGAAGAGGGGGGGGGGGGGAGGCGATTCGTTATAATGTACAAAATTTACATATGCTCAACCAGTGACTTATTTCTTTATGGGGGGGGGGGCAAGTCGCTACTAGGTACCTTTAAGGGGAGATGATAAATAAAAAGATCTTAGGTTAGTTCACATAAGTGCCAAAATTAATTCAAACGTTTCGGAAAACTTTTTCTTTAAACAGTTTTAGCACAAGATACAAGAAAAAATTAATTGTCAAAGTTACACTAGATAATGAAATTTGCATCGGCACAAATTGCCAAGGCTAAATTATTTATGATTTGAACAAAGGAAATTGTTTTTGAAATTCAACTAAATCATATTTTTACACATCAAAATTTACAAAACAATATATAATGATTATTTTATATTCAAAAGCATGGACAAAGGATACTAACAGTTTATAAGAGTTTTTTCAGAAAGTATGCAAAAACAGAGCCAATTTTCAATCGAATCATGCAACAAAAATTGACAGAAGCGCTAAGTTATTTCATTCATTTTTTATTCTCTGAAATTCATCATTTTTTTAAAAATATTTCAGCGTTATCAAAGAAACCATCGGCAAAAAGTTGGGAATTGTTAAGCAATACATTGAATATTCTTTAAAGCATACAAGTTTCTTGAAATTTTTCAGCGCTGTCATAGAAGCGATCCGCAAAAATTTGGCTATTGTTGAGCAACACGTTGAACTTTTCAGACAGCTCGCGTTCGATCCGCGACCATGACAAAATATCCAAAATAGTTAAACAATTCGACGTTATAGTCAAACGTTTCACGCATTTTCTGCCGGAAATCCCTTTTAACCGCGGCTTTCCTCGATATTGTTCAGTGACGCTGATTAGTTTGTTCCCCCTCTGAAGGGTAATCCCGTCAGAGTTTTTTTCAATGCTCCAGAACCATTCATCGGTTTGAAATACAAGAAAAGCATGATAAAATACGTGTTTGGTAATTTGTACTGTTGTATGGGCTCTTTCCAATTAAGATATAAATTTCAAATAGATATCGTTACAAACAGACGATGTACCCTGTCCGAAAATACTATCTGAGAAGGTCACCCGGATCTGAACTCATCTGGTGCGACCAACGAGTCTCGATCAGACTCACAACTAACTTAGTTTTAGCAATCAGTAAACAAATCAAGAGAAAAAGATAACGTATCACCCGTATCAATAAATCTAATAAAGCCGAACCAACATTCAAGACGAACTTCCATCACAGAGTAACGAAAACTAAATCTGCTTCTCAAAGTGAAAAATAAGCAAAAACTACAAACAAATGACCAATAATTGTTTGTGCAGTCGAATCGAACAATACTAGCTTAACTAAAACAAACTCAGCCATAAAATTCAAAAAAAAGCCTGATAAAATTGAGTAATAAATTAAGGAAAAATTCAAAATTTTAAACATAATTTTATTTTAACCAATTTTAAACAAAATTTCAGTTTAACTCAAAGTTTCAAATCTGCAGTGAACTTCCTAAACATTTTTTTTTTAAATTTATTCATTGAATCCAAAAAAAAAACAAAAAAACAAAAAAGAAAATAGTTAAAATCTATTTGTCAATGTTCATCAGCTTTCAATGGTTTCTATAAATATTCAAAAAACGATAATAAATAACCTTTTCTAATAAATTTGTTATTCCATTTATTTTTCTATTCTGAAGAATAACTTAACATAAATTGCAAGATCATCAAGGCTTCTTCCTGGGTCTTTAATTTTAAAAAAGTAAACTTATTCAATTAACAAGATCATGAAGTCTTCTCATTGAATATGTCGCTTTTCAAGATTTTATAGTCTCTTAAAGGATCAAATCATCAATGCTCCTCCTTGGTGCTTTAATTATGAAAAAAATTTGAATTTGTTTTAAACCTAGATTATCAAGATTTTCTTAATCTTTTAAACTCCAACCTATCAAATCAACTCATCTTTTTAACTAAGTCTCTAATAGCCTATGGTGTTGATTCACTCTCAACCTTTTCTATTACCCAGGGTTAATTGACAACTTTTTTTGTCGAAACTGACCATTAAAATTAAGCTAAACAGTGAAGAATTTTGGTTGCTCGTCGTCCTTTAGTTGATCCCTACATCTTGTTTGATGTAGAAGCTTAGAACACACCTTGAAAAAAAAAACTAACTAAAATAATTTTAACGAACTATAATACTTTTTAATTATACTTGGACGCTATGGACTGATTTTACTATTCTGCAACCGTCGATCTATTATTGATCCAATTTTAGATAAAATAAATAATCTTTAAATGCAGAGAAAGCCTCCCAACCGAGTGTAGTTTAAATCATTCAAAAGAAACAATCTTCTCTCTCCCCAATGCGTCTTGTCACCACAAACATGCGACTCAAGGATTTAGGATAACAATCACAAGAGAATAAGGACTAAGTAAAAAAAATTAGAATAACTTACAATTGGCTTTTGAATCCATCTTTCATCCTAGCACTTAAAGCAAAACCAATTAAAGCAAACAAGCAAACAATAAATGTCCACAGTTGTCTCAATGAAAAACTCCGTTACGACCTTGTAGTAACACATCATAAACACAGATTTTGTATTATTACGTCGAAAATATAGACAAAACAAAAAAGTTTTATTTACAAAAAAAACAAATTCCGAAAAATTGTTTTTAAAGAAAACGGACAGCAATTCCAAAATCATTTACTACAAGGATACGTGTACTTCAACAACCCAAAAAACCAAAAACAACACATGAAACAAAAAAAAGAGAAAAGACATTTTTCTGACACCGAAGTAAAAACAACATCATCCATAAGAAGTATAATAAGAATAAAAAAACCTACAGCGAAAAACCAGTCCAATAAATAATTGGGCTCAACCCGAAAGACTCACCGAACATTATAAGTTAACAGTAAATACACTTCACAAAAAAATTATTCAGAAATCCGACAACAATTTTGAGGATGACTCTATTCTACGATTTGTCATACATCCAAATAGTGATCGATCACAAGGAAAAGTACTGTTTTTCTGCACCATCATTTCCTTCTATCATTTCCCAAGCCCTTGTCGTTACCCTTTCATCCAATTCTAGTTCTTACTACACTAAAGCTACCCCACTTTTATCACCACTTTCGAACCCCCTTGAAGATACTCCCAGCCCTATTACTGACGACCAAGTTGAGCATGATTCAGATAATTTTAAACAACAACCCAATATTCACAAAATAAACTCACCAATATCAATTCACCGATTAACTCAATTCGCTTCTGAATCAAATATCTTCTCTAGCAGTCATCCTCCACAGAGCTGCAAGCGTTCTAAACAAACGTTGACAGCAATTAAACATGGCTAGACATTTAGTCAGCCGCAAATCGACACACCGACTACAATGAAAGCGACCAAACACAGCACATAAACACGCATGAATTTTTACTTCACTCCATCCCATGCTTCCTACAAAATAGCTTCAACAATAAAAAAACTAAAAGCCAACGCGACTTTTTTGTTAACAAAAAAAGCTTAATACACACTCTTCCGTGTCTTAGCTTTTAAAAATTACTAACCCCATTGTTATTCCGATGAAAAAGTATGACGATGAAAGTCTACACGCCAACAAGATTTGACAACTAACTTCCACAATTCATCTCGAAGAAATCAACAATTTTATCACAAATACTCAATCACCGCATTTCAAGGAAATTTAATCATTTCCTTATCGCTTATTAAGATCACAATTTTAACAGATACTTGGAAGACTCACCACACAACACTGGTGCCGAATCTAACCCACAATTAACATCAAATTTTTTCAACAAGACAGACCACATATTTGACCTCCACCATACAGATCACGTCATTGATCAGGCATTCAAAAACACAAAAGCTTGCGAACGCTGTTTTAGCCGCCTTGAAAAAATTTAATTAACCTGAAGTTTTTGAACACCCAAAAAATTGATTTATATTCAGTAGAACCAAAAACATCAATCGCATACTAGTCAAACTCATTTTAAAATCACCTTCTATCGCAAACTTTTTTAATAATGGTTTCTCCAAAGTCCTTTCGTAAGTATGACTTTAAAACTAAATACTAAAAAATTACTCATCATTTAATATTAAAATGTTCCCACAAATTTCATCGAAGATGCGGAAAAAAACAATTTTTCATAATTTTTTCAAAGAGTGCCAATCGATTGCTGTGTTTTGAATTATATTTAATAAAATCTATAACTCAGCAGTATTTTTGATATTTCTTATGCAATAGTGTTATAAAACAATACATTAAGTCATACAGTTGAGTCATAAATTATAGTAAAGCTAACTTTTTCACGGGTGAAATTTCTACTTGTCTCCAGCTTGTCCCTCCACTTGCCGCTTTTTTGAATTAATGAAATTTTTGTAAAATTTTGCTCGACAATTTATAATAAAAAAATAATTCCCCATTTTGCGAACTGCTGTTAACAACTATAAAGAGTTTTCACAGCTTTGAAATTTTCATTCAATCTGGTTGGAATGAAGCGTAAACAACCAACGCAGCTTATTTAACACCACCGCACTACCAACTCACTACTAGTGTGTGAAAAAAATTTCCACTATTCCGAAACCAGATCGAACTGGATAATATATGATTTGAAGCCAAAAACCCGATTTTAATCAAGAACACATACAACTTTAGGATGCACCCTATTGACACTTGTCACAGAAAACCCATTTTAAAATTGTGGACACAACTACAAAACATAAATGAGAAAATACCAGGTATATAGCAAGAAAAGGTTATGATCAGTAGAACCCTTTACTCAATAAACCATGTTAGGTATACTGCAACGATTCGACTGACCTAACCCACCAGTAGGACGTGCTGAGCCTGCTCTATAGCAAGCCTCATCAACCGCGCTAAATCACGTTTAGACACATTGCTCACTGCTTTTGTGAGCAACTCTTGAAAATAATCAAACTAAGATAAAGCTTCTACGAAAACAATTAACTAATTCATAACTACAACTGAAAACACTAAATTTGTAAACAAAAAATTTGGAAAAAAAATATTGAAATATTTGAACGAATTCCAAGGGTATATTCAGCAGCAAAAAAGAAATGATCACGAGACGACATTCGAACTTCGGAATGGAAAATGTATTGGTTTGCTTGCCGCAGTCTCAATCTTCCCTGCATTTATAGTATGGAGTTGTCAAACAAAGATAATGAATCAATTGAAGCAGAACGATAGCAAACTCGATGTCAAACTCTATTATACGTGTCCTTTTTCACTTGAAACTTCTCTGAACAAACTCAACCTTTCATCTTGCACGTAGTCCCACTCTGAACTCCGAAGTCGACTCCCAACCATTACCTTTCTGCGCAGCACTTCAATCTCTCTGGTTTCACGGTAACTCCTCGTCATCATATGTGTTTGGCAGACACTACAACTAACTCTCTCACAAACTCAGAAAACACTCCCATTTAAAAGACTCAGAACTTTGAAACTTCACTTCTCTAGACCCCGGAAGGGTGGAACCAGTTTGAAACTAGTTACTTCATTTTTATTTTATTTCCCTGTAGAGTATTTTTAACTAACCAATCATGATCCATGACTAAAACGTACTCTAGTTTGTTAGCCTGAAAACCTAGTGATTCAGAGAAACGATAGTTAAGTTTGAAATCAGTTGCTTTCTTCTGTCCTCTAACTCCGCCATAAACCAGTGTATCTCCAGATCTATTGAATCTAGAAAATATAAGAATAAGATTAAGATTGG